AGGAGGATGAACATTCTGGGCATCGGAGATAGCCAATGCAAAGACACAGGGACAAGAGGTGGAATATCAGGTTTGAGAAACAGCAAGTAGTCTAGTATATCTGTATAATAGAATGTGTGGGGCGAAGTATGAGAAGACGGGAGAGGATAGAAAGGAATCAGGTTGTTAAGAAATGTAAATGCCAGACAGAAGGCTTAGTCTTTAACCATGGGAGTAATGAGGGAGCCACTAGACTTTGTTAATGGGAAGGGGAGAGGACAGAGAATGGTCAGAACTGTGTGATGGGGAAATTGTATTGGGAACCATGTGGACAATAGATTTGGAGTGGGTGGAAGAAGGCAGGGAGGCCAGTTAAAAGACTTTTGAAATAGTTGAGGTGATGAAGTGATATGAGCCTGAACTAGGGTGATGATTTTTATGAGTGGAGAGAAGGAAATGTGTATAAGAGATGTTGTTGAGGTAGAAAGCACAAGATTTGGCAAGTGATTGGCTTTATGGGGGGAGTGTTAAGAGTCAGGGATAAGAGGAAGGTTATGAATCTGGATGATTCCATTCTCCATCTTCAAAGCTGCCTGGTTTCAACTTCACAGAATAAGATGCCCCTCCAAAATTAAACTGATCACTTCTAACCTCATCACCATGATGCTAACTCAAGTCTTGGACACCACTTCCCTCCATCTCCTTTCCCATCTGATCGAAGATCTGGAGGATGTGGTACTAAATCCTCCCAAATCCCACTATTGACCAGTATGAGACTGTGACCTGCTTCATTGCCAATCTGGATCAATTTGGCCTTTATAGGCAACCTAGGGGGGTCTCCCCATGCCATTCCCATGGGCTCACAATATTAATGCCAAACTTAGTTAAGACATCTGATCAGCTTAGCCCTCTTCTGCTCAGAACTCCTGGGCTCAAATAACCCAACAATCTCAGCTTCTTTGGTATCTGGGTGTACAGAGATGTGCCATCACATCCAGCTATGATTTGTTTTAGAAATTTTTAGAAGGAAGTCCCTTCTGGCTTTGAGACACTATGGTTCTAAGATTTTGAAATCAGGAGGAACCTCTTACTGGGCTCAATGGGGTATAAAAGAAATACATGACATAGCTCATGCTTTAAATTTGCTTACAAAAAGGGGACAGCTTATGCTAGACTCAGATTCAGGAAAGTCCTGGGTTCCTGCCTTTGACATTGATTAGCTTTGTGACTATGCACAAATCACTTAACCCTTCAGAGCTTCATTTTCTAATTCTGTAAAATGGGAACAATGACTCTTGTAGTACATACACCACAGGACTATTGTAAAGATCAAATAAGAAAGTGTATTTACAAAAAAAAAAAAAAACTCAACAACTTTGAAAAGCTTGAAAGTCCATATGTCAGCCATTACTACGAAGTACACATATAATAATTAGAAGGGAACAGCATTACAACTTGATACAATTAAATGGTTCTAATTAAATGGCTAAATGGTTCAGCTAAGACAATTGGAGAGTAGGGTAATGTATTGTAAGGTGTTAACTGAACGATTCAGACAATGTGAGCAAAAAGACTTAAAGGGACCATTGGGAAAGGATTCATGGAAGAGTTAGACCCTAAGCTAGATCCTTGAAGGGCAGTAGGATGTGGAAAAATGCAGTTTGTGGAGGGCATTCTTGGTAAAGTCAAGAGTTGGGGAATGTGTGGTTTTTTTTTTATCTTAAGCTAAAGGTCTAAGAGAGAGAAATGTATCAGAGTGTTTCTTAAACTCACTTTAGCAATTTCGCTTTAATAAAAAATACACAAGTGCACCAGTTTTATGAGGGAGAAAAAAACCAAGTACCTCATAATTTCAGAGCTTGAGATAAAAAGACATTTATTTACATATTGAAAATATATGTGAACTTGAAATAATTCTTAGGGATTGTTTCCAAATAATTGAAAACACAATGCAAAATGATTTAGACCAAAGTTGGTGCAATGAAATTTGTTTCATATCCTTGTTGCAGTAAATTTTGGAATAGAGAAAAGTTTGACAGAAAAATGACAATGTTCTAAAAATAGAATGCTAGCGTTTTGTTCAGCTTTTTCTGTGTTTTTCTCAGTCTCAGGTCATTGCAAGGATTTAGTGGCAGGAGGAAAGCATTAGAGTCCCCTTCTCATCTGCCACCTTAACAACAGTTTTTTTTTTTCAGCTGAGTGTGGATTTCTCAGACCCTCTTTTCCCCCTATTTACAAAAAAAAAAATAATAATAATACTTCCAAAACTAAACACTAAGACATTGTATCAGCTTCAAGATGCTTCCTGACTTGAATCTCTGTTAACTTTATTCCCTACTCATTTTTAACATCCATCGCAGTACAGGCAAAAACAAAACAAAAACACACTTGTGCATGCGTGTACAAATGTGCACACTACAGCACAAATCTATGTCCATATTCAAATACACGAATTTGGTATTGAAAAATGCTATTGGAATAGCTATAATTGCAACCCCAGTAGCAGAAATGTAGGGAAAATGGCTTTGAATCTATTAGAGGAATCCCTCAGATAAAGCTTCTATCTTTCCAGCCAAGTTCTGAGTCTGTGGTTCCTGTCAAATCTTTCCTCAGTCAGCTGTTGGACTCACAATTGAATGATGTGAGGCACTCCCTCCCAATCAGGGCTAAGTGTTCCCAGACCCATGCAGAAAATCCTGGATTCTCTCTTGCAGAGCTGAACAGAGCTGAATTTTCAGATCAGCAATGGGCAACTGAAAAAAAGATTTCAAAATTAAAATGCTAACCAATCAATATTGAAATGTATTTTAAAGACATTTTGATATGCCCTACAGTGCATATAACAAAGAAGTAATTTTTATGGTGATACAACTATGGCTAGAAATTGATTGTTATTCCATTATGGTCTGGGACTTTGAAAAATAGCCGTATCTTTTCTGGGTTAAAACTTCATTCTTGGTATCAATCCAAAGGTAATTTGGGGTGGGGGGGGGTGATATGGGAAAAGCTGAACCTAATTGTTTCCAAAGGTTTTCTGTTAGTTAAGGATGAAAAACGGCGAATTCTCCCCTTCTTTAAAAATGAACTTTGACCTTTGGGGTGTTCACATAACTCAAAAACCGTCTAAGCTATAAACTTAAGGCTTGGCAGCACCGGAATTTTCACTGATAAAGGAGAGTAAAGACGCATTGAAAGAAGAGCTTAAGTATTTTAAGTCCTCCGAAGTCCTCCAAGAGTGTGGCTGACCATTCTTCCTGGTTCTTAGGTAGAGGTCTCCACGCGGGACACCCAAGCCGGGTGTGCACTGCGGAGCCCTCAGCAAGACAGACTTACTCCCTCTGTTTCTTTCTTTCCTGGAAAAAAAGTTTAAAATTTCACTTGCATTCAACCACTAAAGATCATCATTCTTCTTTTAGTCTCTAATCAATTACCGATATCACGCGTTTCTTCATTCCTCTTTTCTTGTCCAATTGATTCGAATCTAACACTCCCAACCAGCGAAAGAGTTGTCCTATTTTTTTTTTTTTTTTTTACATAATTGAGATCCAGGTAACCCCTCTTTTCCTCTCGGCTAGTGTTGAGAAACTGAAGAGCGGTGATTTGGAGCTGGGCTTAACTCCTCTCTTTTCTTTCACAAGTCAATCTTGAGTTCCGTTCCTGGGACACTGGAATTCCCTATTCTACTCCCTTTAAACCAGGGTCTGGACTAGGGCATGAACGGTCCAGAACACGTGAGTGTGTCTCAGTATGGAACATGTGCTGTGCCTCCCCACTGCTGCTGTATTTCTAATGTTTTCTCTGGCCTAGGTCCAACCCCCATCTCTAGTGTGTGTGTGTGTGCGTGTGTGTGTGTGTGCGTGTGTGTGTGTGTGTGTGTGTGTGTGTGTGTGTGTATTCCGCCCGGCCTCCTCTTTGCATCCCCCTCTTCCTTCTATCTCCCATCCCACTCCTACCACGACCCCCGGCCACTGCACAGCCCCTTCCTATTTTATCGGTCCGTGGTTGGAGGTGGCCACTATCCACTCCCTCCCCCTGGCGCATCCCAGTTGAGCACTTGGGTAGGGCTCACCGAGTATTTGCAGCCCAGGCAGCGCAGGGAGCACACGGACTGAGGGAGACTCTGGGGCTCTCGGTCTCGGTCTTCTCCGCCCCCTACCCCATCCCGCTCGGATTTGTTTTCAATGAGAGCTCTTGTGCCTGAGCGGCGGCTCCCGCCGCCAGAGACACCGGCAGCCTCGCAGCTTGCCTGAAACACTCGCTCCTTTTCCATGCCTTATTTGACTTGGTTCCGACCCGATCTGAGGGCGACAGCACTCTGAGCCCCCACCCTCCAGTTTGCTTTCCATCTGCAGGAGGGTTTTTTTCCCCCCTCTCTTTATTTGTTTATTTATTTTTATTGTGAAGGAAGAGAGTTTGGAGGAGGTGGGGGAGGGGGTGTAGAGAAAGGGACGTTCCCCACTAAACATCGCAAACAACACAATAAAGGCTGCTACTTCTCAGAGTGGCTTCTGAATTGCTCCTCGTAGCCACTATCCCCTGCTTTTAAACTGCCAATAGAAGAGATTCTCCCCCCCATCACTTCAGTCCTCCCCCTCCTCTTCCCCTTCCTCCTCCTCCACCTCTTCCTCCTCCTCCTCCTCCTCCTCCTCTTCTCCTCCTCCTCCTTCTCCACCTCCTCCTCCTCCTCCAGCACCATCACCCTCTCTTCTCCTCTCCTCTCTTCTTTTTGGCAGCACCAGGACGTCCGGTGCGAATGGTGGCAGCCACAGCCGCATCAGCACGAGCGGCAGCAGCAACAGATCTTGTCTAAACCTGCCCCCCCCTTTCCCTCACGCCCCTATCCCCCACCTCCTCCAGAAAGGTGCTGGGAGGATTTTTCGGAGCTGAGGCGGAGCGGCTGCAGCGGCGGCAGCGGCAGCAGAGGCGGCAAACAGCAGCGGCGGCGGCAGCGGCAGCGGCAGCAGGAGCGGCGACAAACAGCAGCAGCGGCGGCCGCGGCGGGAGCAGCAGCAGAAGTCAGAATGAGTGGACGAGGCGAGGGAGCCGGTCAGCCTTCCACTTCCACCCAGGGACAACCTGCCGCCCCAGCGCCCCAGAAGAGAGGACGAGGTCGACCCAGGAAGCAGCAACAAGTCAGTAGTAAGGGAGCGGGCGCGGGGGAGGGGGGGGCAATAAACCCAAACCCACCACCCCTGATCCAACTCTTATACACCTCTTGTGCTGGACCCGAAATCCAGACAGACCGAGAGCCGGGAAGACAGAAAGGTGACCGGCGCAGGGCTCCGGAGTTCCGCCCTCTGCTCAGTCTTGGAGGCTGGGGGAATCGAGCGGGCGCCGGGGTCTGGGAGGGGGTGTAAGGAACAGAATAGACCTCCGGGTGACTGCTGGCTCCTCTGCGCATGGGAGAGGCGCGCGGGGGGCTCTGGGGGAAGAGGAGAGGGAGAATAGGGGGAGAAAGGGAATCTCCGGGGAGCAGAGTTGGGGCTGGGGGCGGGGGGAGGGAAACCCTGGGGAGAGGGAATAAGGAAGGAGGTGAGAGGTATTTTTAGGAAAAGTGTCTCCCTTGAACTTTCGCTATTGTCCTGGCTTTGCTGCGTCTTGGGCTTCCCCATGTAAATCTGTAACCCGGAGCCGACCAACCAGCGCTCTTGGGCTCGTTTCGAGCTGATTTTGAAATTGCAAGAAGAGAAGGAGGTGGCAGTAGTGGTGGCGGAGAAGGGGACTGAGGGGCTTCCCCGGGCTGTCGCTCTCCCGGCTCAGTGCAAGCTGCTCTTGAGTCCGGGCGCTTGGAGAGAGAGGGTGGAGAAGCCCCTCTCTCTCCATCCCAAAGACCCGGACGGGAGCTGGAAACGAAAAGCAGCCCTGTTGCACCCCCTCCTCCCTTCTGCCCCCCACTCAAATCACCTCTGGCTCCCACTCCCCACCGCTAGTGGCCCGATTCCATTCACCTCCCTCCTTACAAAGAATGCCTAGGGACCGAACTGGCGCTGGGGGATCTGCAGCCTCCTCTCTGTTTCCAAGAGCTCTTTAATAAGGCGGCCAGACTCACCAAGTTCTAGAGGCCTGCAAGGGTTAAGGTGACCCCAGGAAGTTGCTACAGGGGAAGACCCCTCACACCGCAGCAAGGTCCTAGGACCAAGATTGGATAAAGTTGAAAAGGGCCTTTTTATAAACTTGAGAAGGTTGAAAGTTATTAGGTCGGTTCTTCTGTCTTCTCTTCCCCCCTCCCCATTAGCCTCCCCCCCCCCCACAGTCCGTAACCCACTTTGCGCAGAAATGCATAAATTAGACCCTGCTTTTCCAGAGTAAATCGGTGGGGGGTGGGGAAGGGGCGAGAGAGTGGTGACTGGGAATCTAAGCACAGTTGATGGGTTTTGTCTGCGGATGCAACCAATTAAGCGTGCAGCTTTGCTGGGCGTCGTGGAGAGGAAAGGACTAGAGGTTTTGTTTGCTGTAATCTCCATGTTTTGCCAGTAACTATTCGAAGAGAAGATGCCCAAGGCACCCTAAGATCCCGAACTTTAAAATGCTTGACTTGGTAAATTCTCTGGAAACCCATTCGTCTGGTAAATCGAACGAGGAGAAAATATTCTGCTCAAAGCAGCCCGAAGACTCTTTCTCAAGGTGGGAAAGCTAAACGGTTTTTGCCCTCGTTCTGTTCTACTTCCGAAGAGTGTAGAGAATACCCTTTGGAAATCGAAAAAGCAGAAGCAAAGATGGAACCCGCGAAGCCCCCTTCTGTGCCCCCAAATCTCAATCTAATTTTTTCCCATACACCCACCCACACTATTTATTCTCCACTTGTAATTTCCTAGAGGAAAAAAGTCCAAAAGTTGAGCGAGATCTGAGAATGTTGAGATTTTAACTTTGCATTAAGCCAAGTTCTCAAAAAAAAAAAGAAAAAGAAAGAAAAGAAAAGAAAAATGTATGTCTCAAAATCTACATGTGCCTGCAATCGCTCCAGTACTCTACTGAATTTTGGAAGCATCCCTTTCCAGTTTCCCTAAATATACATATGCAAATTTAAAAAACTTTTAGTCCGATTTAATTTAACCACGGGCTACCCTTAATCAGTCATGCCACCTAAGCTGAATGAAATGTTCACTATTCAGAACCAGAAGGGTTTCCTAGACTTGATGATTCACTGGATAAATATTTATGATCTGTACTATTCAGAATTCATATACCATTAATGAGTTGATTAGTTACTATAAACTAGGAACCTTTAAAAAAAAACTTTTAAATGGATAGGGTTGGTTTTTTGTTGCTGTTGTTTTTTACCCCATGGTATCCCAGACCCCTTTCTGTCTCACAATGCCTACTCTTCAAACTATCTTCATAAGGAATTTCCTAGGAGGAAAGTTTCCTAAAGAAAATGTGTTGTTTACTTTCTAACAAAAGACAGATTTTCAAAAGACTATGCCAACTATCTGAAGGAAATGAAGAATTGAAGTAACTATCCCGATATTTCAAACACCCGCCTACCCCACCCCCACACAAATGCCTTAATTATCTGGACATTTCAGGAAAAAGGATTATTTTGACCTGAAAAATCTAGCTAATTGCTCCAATCCTTCCCAGTGAATATGCACATTGGGTTTTAAGGGAAATAATGTATGAATGTAAGTTATAGTATGAAAAAAACTAATTCATAGTCTTTAAGAAAAACCTGACTACAAATTGCTTTTCAGTTTTCCAGAATGGAGTTATAATATGAACTACATGTTGCTGTTTTATGTTAAGTGTAAGTAAAATGGATAACTGATATTCATGTTAAATGATTTCATTTTCAAGAGTTCCCAGTGCAGGATTGTGAGAAATCAACATCTTCAAACACTTAGGATGTGCCACCGAGTCATTCCTTTGTTAACTTTTAGAGTAGAAATGACGTCTTGTTTTCATATGCAAAGCAGAATTTCCTCTTTGAACACTTAAGTTCTCCGTATAGTTATTTCCTCTTTCTGTAAACTCTGTATCATCATTCATTTACACTTGAACTGCATGTGGTCTAAAAGTTAGTTGAGCAGTTCAGGCTGATAATAGAGTTGGAGGGAAATTTTACTTTAGACTTGCTTGCCACAATAGTATGTTTTTCTGTGTTTAGGAGCCAACAGGTGAGCCCTCTCCTAAAAGGCCCAGAGGAAGACCCAAAGGAAGCAAAAACAAGAGTCCCTCAAAAGCTGCCCAAAAGGTGAGATTTCCAGGGAAATATCTCCCAACATGATCATTGTTTTCAGCAGCAACAGTTTCCTTGTTATCTCAATCATTCAAGGTCCAAACCTGAGGATTTGTTCCATTTGAATAACCCAAGATACATTTTTCAGGTTTTACATTTGTAAGATGTAAAATGTGATTTAACCTTTTTTCCCCCCAGGAAAACTCTAAAGAAAAAACATATGAAGACAATTTGGTTGTTTTGGGTATATCTTATCTATCAATCTATCAATCAATCAACCTATCTATCTATGAAAAAGGAAAAAAACACAATAGTAGACATTATCAGAAGGTAGAAAAGATTTCAGTGTAATTATTGAGATCTGTATTAATTAAGGTAGTTAAAAAACCAAATTAAACATTTTGCCTAGTTGTGGAATTAAAAATTTTTTTCTTTGAAATAAATGAAGATTCATTTCCTGTATCCTTATTTACAATACCACTTCAAACCAAATCCCTCTATTAAAGCTAAGTGCTTTGTCAAACATGTGGTAATTCAAAGTAAATCCAATTATGTGTTGATGGAAATAAGTGCATTTCTTGAAATTTACAGCTTTAAAATGTGATCGTAATGTAAACTGATTGTGAGTTACAACCCCAGTGACTTACAATGGATATTGTTGGATAATCTATTCCAAAGAGCTTCCTTATTTTTGTTTTTGTGCTTTAAGTGATAATTGGACCACTTTAACAATTTCAACAAATTTTAACAAATACAATTTGTTGCAATTCAAAAGTCCATTTAATAATTTGTGATGTAGTACAGTGCAGAACCCAGTCAAGTCTAAGATTCAGGGTCTCTTAATAAACTCTAAATGACAAATTCAAACAACAGTTTCTTCCCATTGGCTGAATTTGATTTGCAAAAGTTATGTATTAGAGTCCATGCTATTGCATTGCATGTTGGAGAATTTTTGGTGAACAGAATGAGTTGTGTGCAGCCTTGAAAATAAATACAGGAGTCAGGTTTCTGTAGCACGTAACACTAAAAGGTCAGAGCTAGTCCCCTAACTTAAAGGCATGAAAAGTGCTTGAAAATAAAAGTTCGATGTGGTTAGGAATAAATTATGATACTTGGTATAGATATTTATCCGTCTTTAGTAGATCTCTGAAAAGTGAATGAGAGAGACAGAGAGACAGAAGGAAGGAGGGAGGAGGAAAAGAGAGGGGGAGAGAGAGAGAGAGAGAGAGAGAGAGAGAGAGAGAGTTGGAAAAGAACTAGGGGTTCATGTCAATGTGGTTAATTTTTCTGTGTGGTTTACTTTGTGTCTGTGGGCATTGACCATGTCATATGTGATAGTTTCAATGTTATACATTTCCATAGCAACTTGTGATAAATATTAAGTTATTGAGGGGGCGAATATGGTTTCATGTCTGTTTTATTTTTAACCGTTTTGAATAGCTAGTTGGGCAATCATATTTATAGAATGTGTGTTTAAATTCACATATGTTTCCCAGAATCTAGACAAGGACTGAGCCATGTTTTAATCAATAGATCTGAAAGTGACTGATGATGCAAGTTCTTATATTTTATATTGAAAACTAAGAAAGAATAAGTTGATTATTTGAAAGAGTTAATTTTCTGTCAGTCACATTTTATTTACCATTGGATTAATGAAAATCAATTTTAGAAAAAACTTTTTTTAAACAAAAAAGGTACTCCAATTTTATAAACAGTAAGTCCAATGAAATGAGATGCCATACCTTGCCATATTTGTGACAAAGGATTACATTTTGAAGTAATTGTGTGTTTAAAAAAATTATTATGAAATCCTCCAGGAAGAAATCTTTAGTTTTCCTACATGAGTAATTTTAAAGTTCATTGTAAGGAGGGGCAATTTTTATTCCAAATCTGCTGGAATCAAAAGGGAATTTAAAAAAAGATCATTTCACCTTTTCGAATTGGAAATATTCACCTGATAACTAAGAAAACTCAAAGCCCTTTCTTTTAAGCAGAAAACCAAGAGGTCTTTTTACAAAACACACTAACAAAACAGCACTGTCTGTGCTCCTGAGTTATGTCTGACTTGCTTTTAGTTTCTTTCATGACAGGCCTTTTTTAAAATGGGCATACATTCTATGCTCTATTCACCCAGTCTTTAGTCAATCTACAGATGTCTTGAAGAGTGGTTGAAATTTTCAGAATTGAAGCATGTCTCCAAATGCACTTTTCTGCCTATTTTCTAAATAAAGTGTCCCCTTCTCTCTTGCAATCTTATACTATCAATCCAAATTATACAATTATTCCCCACAGTTCACCTATGAGAATTGTAGTCATATAGGTGAATCAGAAAACTTGCCTACAGGTTTGTCTTATTTTCCCTTGATCTCACAAATGCTTCCTTGTAATTTGTAAAATAATGAATCACTATGCTGAAATTTAAGGTTCTAACTGGCTATAAAAACAACATTCATTAATTTTTGTCAGATCCTTTACATAGGAACTTAGTTGCTAAATACATGGAGTCAAACTTTCCTGAAGAATAGTTGTGTTTTTTCCAAGTAAATCCAATGAAATATACAGGAGAGTTCATACCATATAAGGTATAGATAGACCACTAGAATTCACAGAGCCTAATAGAAGGTTTCACAATTAGCTACTTGGGTTTGTTTGTTTGTTTCTGAAGCACTGCACATCATCATGAAAAATATATCACGAAAACTAATACAAGACCTTAATAACCACACAAACTTTATAAATTATTATTATTGTTATCATGATTATTATTATTATTATATTGTCAACAGTAAGTGCCCTTAAACTGTTGGGAAAAAAAGCTTACACTAGGACTCTGATCGTGTTGAGTGTTTAAAAAATCTTGGGGCATGATGTTTCTCTACTTGTGGAGTTTGTGTTTGGTTGGACTTAGTAAACTGGCCTTGGGGCATTTGAAAACAAACTGTTCTTGTTAGGAAATTAGCAATGTGAAACTTGACAATGCATTCAGAATGTTGCAAGACCAATTGGACAACCCATAAAGTAGCAATTACTATAATTTCAGGTCAGGCACATATAAAAATTGACTTAAGCATAACAAATAAAACTTGTTCAGAAATAAACAAATACAACTTATAATTTTGACTACTGGGGGGAGGGAGAGAAAAGAACACTGATATCCTGTTTTAAAAATGAAGGAAAAGAAAATGGCTACATGTGTCTAGAGTAGATGTGTGCCAGTTTACAGTAGGCTGATATCCTTCAAATGAGGCTTCAGAATTTTCTCCTGTGCAAATTTCATGTTGGTACTGTTTCAAATTAATCAGATGAAAAATGACTGAAAGTGGTTGTTTTCCTCTTTTAAACAAATAAATAACCAACAAAAATATTGTGCTTTTAACTTTTTATTTGGATTTTCATATTTCTTAGATTGAGGGAATTAGTTTTCATTAGTTTTTCCCCCAATTGCCTTATAACTCTTCTGTGCTTCTCATGTTGGTACTTTATAGAAATACTGACATAATGTTTCCCTCATTTAGAATGAAGAAAGCAATGTTATTCAGAAGTTAGGGGTTTTTTTGTGACTTCTTAATCACAATAAAGAACATCAGATGGTCACTTGTAAATATTTAGTGTATAAATGAACAATTTTTTTAGATCAAAAGCTGATGGTCACTCCAGCACTTTTGAAAACCTTTCTCTAAGGTTTAATTAAATTTTATTTGGAAGGAAGTTAAATATTTAGGAGGCCTCAAGGTGAGAGAAACCGATTGGACTTTGATATTTTGGTCAGTTCTGTTCTTAGAAGCACCGTGGAGAATGGAAGCCATGCTCATCCAGGTAAAATGTATGTTTTTTCTTTTTTGTAGAGTGCTCAGCACAATGCCTGGCATGTAGTAGGTATTACATAAGTGCTTGTTCCTTTCCTTTCCCCCTTCCCCTTGAATTGTCTATGCAATTGCCTATGTCCTGACTTCATTTAAACCCAAATATCAATTATACACTGGAAAGTTAGACTTGTGCTTTTTGTTAATACTCATTCCACACTAATTCTAGATCTTGAACTGTAAACAGTATTTTATAGATTATTACCAACCCTCCACAACTATTTTAGGACAGATTTTTTTTTCTTCCTAACTGGTCACTTCAGACAAACCTAAAAATCTATTTGATGACTACAATCAGGAGACATTTCAAAGGATAGAGAGGCAGGCAGCAAAGAGAATAACCAGAATCTTGTTTGTTAGCAAATTCAAGGAAGATGACTTGGAGCTTTTAATAATTCTGTTCCTGTCCCAAATATAGGTACTATGCTATTAAGAGTTTTAGTTTTATTCTTCCAGAAAGTATAAGGCATGTTAATCTTACAGTGAGGGGGGGTGGTGCAGAGGGAGGTGTTTCCATATCTCTGTCTACATTTCCAAGGAAAAGGCCAGAATTTAAATCATTAAAGTCCCCAAAGGGAACTTTCCCCACTATTGTTTGCACATTTTGGCATGAATTATTGGCATAATTGCTTCATAATGACTCCTTTTTGGGAATGTAGGCACATCTTCAGTGTACCATTAAGTCTAGTTGACGTCATCTTTGCCCCACACCCGTTTCTATCTCTGAACTAGAGATTATGTTCAAACTAAGGAAGAAACAAATGCATTATCATTGTTTTAGAAAGTAACTAGTTAGGGGAAACCCTGTTGTTTTATTTCTCTTCACGAGAGTTAACAACAGCCTCTTTTCTGAAAGCTCTCAATTACTTTGACTGACCTATACCACTGATAGATTTTTATCTTGAGGTCTCTGCAGATCATTTTGCGGAGGAGATAGGGTATACAAGATTGCGATTATGTTGCATTTGGGTTCTTACTTGATGAGAGATCAATGCCAAAGAGCATTTTATGTCAGTTAAATTATTCATACCTGTGGTCTTGTCTTTGTTAATTGACTTAATGCTGTTTCAGAGCCCTCTTGGAACTGCATGGGTGGTAATGGGCCATCCAAATTCCACTGGACTGTCTGCCTTTGCTTCCGTGTTATCAGCT